CGTGGAGATGAAGGGCAGAGGGCCCTGGAACTATGTAGGTCTGTCTTTAATTCCTGTATTTAATATTAGTTGCAAATAGAATCTCGGGTAAGTTACTTTACCTCTCTGTCCCTCAGTTTCTACAGTAATGCCACCTATCTTATTGAAGTGTGAAGGGTGTATAACTTAAATTCTTTAGAACAATTCCAGGCTCATGATACTTACTAATAAATGGTAACTAATAATAGTTCAATCAAATAGGTACTATAAAAATATTAAGGTTAGGATAATATTGAGTCATACTTCCTGAAGAAGTCAATGACCTATTTATTCACTTATCACCGTATCAAAACTCACCAGGCCCTGGGGACTACTTAAGACAATGGGCCACAAAGATGAATAAAACATGGCCTTGGACTTTGAAAACTATACAGTCTGATGGAAGAGACAGCATGTATTCAGGTAATTGTCACCACATGGACCATGGTGTAACACAGGGTTGCACAAGGTAGCGCGAGAGCCTGACTCAGTGTGGGTAGGTTGGAAGAAGCCTGACAAAGATGGCAGCAGTTGAAATGTCTTTGGAATCACAGTAAAAAGAAGGATGTCCAGAGAGAGGGAAAAGCAGGAACATGATGACATGTTAATTTAACATCCAAAAGAAACAGTAAGTGAAGCTTCAAATGAATTGCATGTACATTATAAAAGAACAACAGCACCATAAATGCTACATTGGACCATCTAGCAGCATATGTATCTATTCCTGGCTAAACAGCCACTGAAAACCAGGGTCAGGGCCAGGGAAAAAAGAACCGGTTTCTGTACTTACTTCTAGCACTCATAGATAGGGAAAGTTAATTTTCATTGAATGCTTTAAAAAAACAACGCATCCTCCCTGAGTCTTCCCCATGTCAATAAATGGCATCACCATTCTCCAGTTGCCCAGGTCAAAAAGGCTGGTTCCCTTCAAGTCCTCTGTTCTCTTCCCCATCAGTAGGACGGGCTACTGCAACAGTTTCATTAAGTTGTCTCCTTCTACCTCTGCCCCCTTGGGACGTGCACTACATAAAGCACCCAAACAGGTGTCATTTAAGCATGTTAGTAATCAGAACACGGCCTTCCTTTGGTTCATATCCTTTGATGGCACCTGGCTGCACCCAGAAGCTCTTATGGTGGCCTTCAAGACCCTCCCCCCAAAACTTCACCTCTGCCTGCCTTTCTGAGTCACCCCTTTTTGTTTGAGTTTTCTCACTGCATAACAAACTGTTCCCTAGAGATCTTCAACAGTCTTCAAAGAATCCTTTCCCAGCTTTCCCATCAAAATGAGCTAAGTTGTTCTACACCAATTGGCTTATTGCATTTTCTCAAGCCCCTTATTTGAAATTGTTTTGTATACTCTTATTACTCATTTATGAGCTATAAATGTCACTGAAATGTAAGCTAACGAGAAAGAACCAGGTCCTGTTATAAACACTGTGTACAGAAAATTCCATGAACTATAATGCAGATATAAAATATTGCAAAGAAGTCACAAAATCCAGCACAGGCAAGTCTCAAGACTGTAAACCAAAAACTACGTCTATTTCATTCACTTACAATAATGCTAGGCAGACATTAAGAAGCCCATAAACTTCTGAATGAATAACCGACTAACAGCATATACTGTCTTCTCAAAGATGAAATGAATGCTCCTGGCCGCCAAACCAAGAATGTTTTAGGTAACTTAAGGTCCCATCCAGAGAGGAGAGTTTAAAGTGGTGACTATCTCAAGAGACACCTCCTAGCATAGCATCCTCCATCACCACATGCTGAATCAACAGGGGTTGATGTTTGCCACAGACTAGGTGTTTCCTGGTGCCAAGAGACAGGCAGCAGATGTCAGAATGATAAAAAGAGGTAAGGAGGAAGAAACTTCCTCAGGAAGCTGTGGGGAGGCCCTGGGCCTTCAGGCAGAACATGAGCCATCAACAAAGTGTCACCACCAGACTGGCCCTGCAGAAAAGCCAGCCCACCACACGGCAAGAACCTTTGGCCCTAGGAACTGCAAGAGACATTAGTGAAGGATAATTATGAAACACTAAATGTTAACGACTTCCTTGAATTTCATTTTGCTCTTCTGGGACTCTAAAAAAAGGTCCCCTGCCTTCAGTGTTACCAAGACAAAAGAACTGGTGGTAATCATACAACCATGACCATTATTTACTGTTTGGGGACCTGAACTGGAGACTCAAGAGTACCAAGCTAATGAGAGAAAACCAGGTCCTGTTATAAACATCCTTGTACTGAGGAGTCCAGGAGACAGCCTGTGATAAGAAATTAGAAAGCAGAGCTCATGCTAATAAGAAAAGGATGATATAGTAGCTCCTAAAATGCACAATAGCAGAGTAGAAAAGACAAATACACAGAAGCTAGAAAATAAAGTCATCTCAACGGACACTCGGAAGATGGGGAGGAAGCCTTTGGAAAAGGCACCGGACTCTTTCCTAGGAAGGTAATGCAGTGACCCTGAAGGAATCTCATCAGCAGACAGTCTATTATAAAGAGTACAGTGTGCAAGGACCAGGATATAAATTAGCCACTTCAATCAACTAACTCAGGGATAACACCTTCCTCTGCCCCCTATATTAGCAAAGACAAGTTCACCACATGTGGCAGACTCACAAGCATGCTCATAATGAACAAGAAAATGAATCCTGAGATTACATTATTCCATTCACTGTGATGTAGTTACGGCTACATAAAGGGGGTTCCTGAAATTCCTATTATTTGGGTTCCATTTTGCACATCCTCGGCCATAAGTAGGGTTCTTTTTTTACTTCCCTCACAATATGAGAACATTTAAAGAAAGTTTATATAACCAAGAACAGAGAGGGTGTGTAGTGAATAGCTGTGTACACCTCCAAATTCGGGAAGTTAGGAAAAGCTATTGTAGATCAGAATAATTAAAACAGAAGTAACGACTCATCTATAAATAATTCTCCTGGCACTAGACTCCCCAAATGAAGGACTAGTACTTTTCTAAAACTTCAAAGATGCCATCAGTGCCTGTAAACTTGTTTTATATTTGCATTTTTTAGAACTGTCTGCAGAGAATATACACACTTCCCTGCCACTAACTTGCTGCAAGCAAGAAGTTCAACCTCCCTGAGCCTCATGGAGTAGAGGCAACCCCATTCTGCAGAGGGGGTCACACTGCTGGTCTGCTGGGATGCTCTCTGTCACCAGTATATCCCTACCTTCTCAGGGACTTACTCTCACATGTGTACACAGAAATGGTGCTAAAATGTACAGTCTTTCTACCAAAGTTCCATCTTTTAGTTTAATGATACCTAGTTTACCCTTGGGTTCTAAAACTCTGGATTTATTCTATGAATTCACCTTTATATTTAAGAACAGAGCCCTGAGAGAAATATCTTAAGTGAATATAGCACCAGACAGATTAAAACATTAGTCATTAATGTATTATCAAATGGTTAAAGATTAGACTATAGAAACCAGACAGCTAAAGAATCTAGTGGCTGCCAAAACATAAAACATGCGTATGTATGTGTGTAAACCCAAAATTACTCATCATAAGTCAATTACAAATAATATACAGATACACAAATTCTTTTTCATACACATGCAGCGGGGGGGGGGGGAGAAAAAGGGAGAGATTAAGGATTACTCTAAGCAGAAAGGGATGGCTATTTTGAATCTTAAATCAATGAACTTAAGTCCAGTACTTTAAATCACTAATTCATGATTGCGAGCATGAATTTCACGCTTGCACTTTTATCATGGATAAGCATCCATTGTATGCATCAGCCTTTGCCTCATAGATTTAAAGTTTTAGATAGGTTAAAGCATGGTCATTCTTCACAGAGCTCTAATGCTTATCTATGACGTAGATACCTTGTTCTCTTCAGAGTATGAAAATATTTTATCTTATAATTCCATATTATTTTTCAAATATGTGCTCATACAAACCCATCCATTTACTAAACATACCCACAGAAAGAGAAACCTGCTCTAAGAAAATGTCCAAGAATACATTTGCATAACATGGGCAGGAAAGTGGGAAGAGGTAGGTCATTTCATTTATAAACATTTATGCTTTGAAACTACTAAGGACACTCAAGTCTAACCACTACAGACAAAAATCTAGCCATCAAAAAGATCCATGTTTAGGGTTCATTACACATTTTATTTGGACCATCTTCCTGCTCCTCTAGTCCATCTCTAGCAAAGACAACAAGCAGAGGACCTAGCATTCTTTGATCTCTCAATCCTTTTGATCTACAAACTAAAGATCTATTGTGATTAACATGCTTTCTTGTCACCAGGTCCTAAAAGGAATCAAATTTTTCCTAAAATAAGATCTGCCTTTGCACACGTGGAGCAGGAAACAAGGAGCTGGGGATCTTAATGCATCGAATGCGAGTGGTTTGTCTGCTGATGTTAATTTGTAAGAAGAACTATCAAGTAAGTAGCTCACTGGAATGTATAAAAAGAAGTGTGCCACAAGGAACAGGGATAAATGTGAATCAGAAGGGAGATCTGGCTGTTTGAAGAGCATCTCACTGACCCTGCTTTACAGCTTCCAATCAAGGTTTCCTGTTAGCCCTGGGCAATTTTTAAGCAAACTGAATGAAACAGTTATACATGTAAGAAATTTAAGCTCAAATCAGAGTCCGTAATACTAATCTTCTAATAGTGAGGGTGTGATGTTTTCCCCCGTACCACCTGGATACAATATAGAAATTGACACAAACATTCTCCCAAAGAGCAGTCTGTCCCACCCTGTGCATGAACGTAGACATTGCTGCAAAGTACAGAAATTTCCCCCCAATTTTTATCCCAAAGTTATTGAACGTCAGATTTATTTTTTTAGCAAAAAGGAAGAAATCAGTATCTTCACATCTCAATTCTTTCACAAGCTGTTTCACAGCTCCAAAAGTTTTGAAGTGAACACATCTCATCTGGTAGCCCCTCACCCCCAGCCTGCCAGTCTCCAAGTGAAACCTATGAGTCTGTCTTACCTGTAATCTGACTCTGTCCTTGTGGATTAAAAGGACTTGGTGCAGAGTTCAGGGAGGGCCGTGGGTTCTGAGGCGGGACACCTACTCTCATACTGGGATGAGGAATGCGCCCTAAATCACTGAGGCGGTCAGAGAACAAACTAGGTTTAGAGTCATCAAGCTTCTGTCTGTGCCCTGGAAACAGCAAATCATAAAATAAAAGCATATTAATTAGCTGAACAATTGACCATGCTAAATAGATATGTGAACATACATACTGGGTGGTTTAAGCCAAGGAATTATCAATACTGATATTTATACTGATGTGCCTTTGTAATGTCTTCCTTTCCAATCAGCTCTACAAACATTCGCAGTTCTGTTCTGTATATGGAGAGTTGAGGGTCCCAGAGGGTGACTTGGAGTTAGAAGCTCAAAAGGAGCTCTCTGGGTACCTCCTCTAGCCCCATCCGTAAAAGGATGAGAAAAGTGAGCATGGACTGAAGCATCTTTCCCTGTTTTGTGAGGGGGGGAAACCCGGTCTGACAGCTCAGACAGTCTGTGCATATTAGACACGCTGTCACAAAGCTGGGGCAGAAACAGAGGCAAACATATTTTCAAAGGGCAGTTTCCATGGTGACTATAGTCACTTTTTCTTTTGTTATGTTACAACTATCCCTTTCCTAAAAAAAAAAAAACTTAAAACTCAAACCCAAACCTAGAATCCTTTAAAGAGAAAATGAGAGAGGAAAGGAAAGAGAAGAACAAGGAGATAACAAGGGGAGGGGAGGAGAAGGTGGGAGAGGAGAGGGAAAAAGTGAGGAGAAAGGCGGGAAGGGAAGGGAGGCCTGGTAAGCAAAGAAACCCAAATTGTCAAAAGGGATCTGGGTCACTGGGGATTTGTCAAAGCCCCAAATCACATAATAAACTCTTAAATCATACAGAATATATAACTTTGTAATTTTAAAGCTATTACCGTACTTTTGTATGGAAAAATACTGCTGGCTAACCAGGTGAATGTGACAATCTATTATTCAAAAAAGTGAAAGAAAATAAAACCTTTCTACTAGTCTATTCAGATTTTAAACCTAAAAAAATAAGGGATTTCTTTTTAAAAAATGTACAAACTAAAATGGACTCAAAGTACTAAGACTTCCTCAAAATCATGAAACCACTCAAGAAGAAGCACATCAATCTCTCTGTGTGATACAGACACATATCGGACTCTGGGTTTGACGTAGGGAAGTGGAACTGCAGAGCAGTGCAGCACCGCCCAGCACGAGAACAGAGTCGTGCTAGTGAGGCTCCGGGAAGCTACTCGAACACTTCAGTGAAAATGTTTATGTAACTGGAGCTGATGCAAGAAAGAGTTATTGAAAGAGCTACTACATGAGAAATATTCATCCTGAAGAAAAACTAAGGGAATTGGGATTATTACTCATAAAAGAAAACACTGAATACAGATTACTAATAGCTTTGGGAATCTGTCACTAGTCTATGATGGTGTGAACACCTCATCTTTAACTTCATGCAGGACAAGGGGAATGAATGTAGCAGGAGAGGGTTAAGTTGAACATTAGAATTTCCCAACTATAAGCTGTCTTCATAAGACAAATTCCTTATTTTATTTGCCCCAAAATGTATTTTCCTGTCTCCTTTTTCATTGCCTACCCAGCCCAAAGAAAACAGACAGGAAGCCAAGGCTTGGTAATGTGAGTGTAGCTGTCTCCACAGCCAAACATGTTCCAAAGAGGCCCATTAACTGAAATGCACCCACCACCCTATTTCCTGCCAGTGCAAGCTGTGGGCATCTGCTATAATGGAGGAAAACCCAGTAGAAAAAAATGATCAGGAAAACCCTAAGAATGTGTGTTGCTAATGATTGTTTTCCCAATTCATACAGATTGCAAATAGATTTTAGAACCCTAAAGGACTTTTAAAGGTGACTCAAAACAGTCCCTCTACCCCAGCTCATAAGGAGATTACAGATGAAGTGACTGAGGCCTACAGAGGCAGGATAGCTAAACTGTGGCTCTCTGCTATCGACCAGCTGGGCTAAGATGAGGCTCCATGTGAAGTGAGCTTTCCATTCATTACTGAATATCATCAATTTTGGCTTTCTGCCTTCTCCGAGTTGCTATGGGAAACTAAAAGTACCTAAATCATATAGTAAGACACTTAAGAAGTAAGCCCAGTGAGGGATCAGGCTGGTTTTCAACATAAGCAGAAATAGTAGCAAGGGTTAGATTACAAAGATAATCACTCACCCATTACCATAAACAAATGGCTGTAGCCTAACTTACTGAACTTCTATCGGTACATTTTGCTGGGTCTAACTAGCGTCTCAATCAAGGAACTGTACAAATACTAGTCACACTTAAATCTGTGGAAGCCATTACACATGTACACATACAATATTGGTATGGTGTTGATAAAACTATAAACATTAACAAGAAAGCTTATGGGATTGTCCCTGGAAGTTATTTTTTTAATAGGCCATATTTTTCAGATTTCCTGAAAGCTAGAGAGAGGGCAGTGTAATCTTGCGTGGCTCTTTTGTAACCTGGGACTTCATGTGGGGCATGGGTCATAAGAAAATGTAATAGCTTTGCCTCTGCTTTCCACTGACTTTTCATTAAGTTTTCGTGGTGGGTACATGAGGCGTGAGCTTGGTGTGTGCAGGTGTATGGGCACATTTTTATGTACTGCGCTTTTAGTATTTGGAGACTTCAGGCTAGAGTAAAGGACTTTGAACAGCACTTACAAGTGAAAAATTTGAAGAGAAAGTAAATTTTTAAAGTGTCAATGCCTTTTTAGAAGTTATCAAAGGCAGCTTCCAAGTATCTACAGAAGAGTTCATGAACTGGCTATTGGAGGATACCAGTACGCTAAAACATACACATTTTTCCTGGAGCTCTCTACCCTTCATAGCAACCACCACAACCACAACAAAATTCTTACAGTACAACGCAAAATAAAAGCTAAACCGGTTCTTCGTCTTTCAACCATGACAAATACCAGCTACCACGAAACCACATCAGGGTGTACTCAAATGACAGGCTGAAAAGTGTGCCGAAATCCTCAGCACCCGGGCAATTGCTTCAGAAACCAAGAACAGGGGAAACAAAGGAAGAAACAGACCTCGGTCCAGACAGGGTACTCAGCCATGTTATAGGGAGGATGGGACCTCACTCTCCAGACCAAAGGGGAGCTCTTCTAAGCAGGAGGAAGATGTAAAGAATGGGAAACCTGTGTTCATTCTCTATGTAAAAGGCTCTACAGCTGGGGAGATGGTTCAATAGGTAGATCACTTGCTATGCAAGTGTGAAGACAGAGTTTGGATCCCCCAAACCCAGGTAAATGCTGAGTGGGTATGGCGGCCCACTTGTTAAGTCCAGGACTCAGAAGGTATCAGAACAACTGGCTAACAAGACTAACCCATATTGATGAGCTCTAGATTCAACTGAGAGACTCTGCCTCAATGAACAAGGTGGAGAGCAACTGAGGAAGACTGATGTCAACTTCAGGCCTCCACATGGACACACACACATGTGAATGTACACACACATGCAAACATGCATACACACAACACACACAAGTAAGGGAAAAAAGATTTTACATAAAAGCTCAGCCCTGCCATCCTCTTCTCTGGCTGCACTTTCTCCCTAGGGCAGTCAACCTTCTAGACTGGCTGAATTAGAAAATCCCACTATGGAGCCTTGAAAGGTACAGAAATCCAGGCCCCACAGTGAATGGATTAAATCAGAACTTCTGGGGGTAGGTCCTGGGAAAAAGTTATTTCTTAAAAAAATCTCCATGTGATCTAATGTGTAAGCAGAACTGAAAGTCACTGTCAGAGAGAGTTTGAGCTCCACCATAAATGTCACCTATTCATACCAATGGCTCTTACACTTCCAGGTGAAGCCCTGACTTCTGCCTTGAGTTCCAGGCTTGTGTGTCTCATGGCCTGCTTGACAGATCTCCTGAGAGATATCACAAGTATCTTAACTACAATATCTTCAAAAAAGAGTTCTTAAGCCTCTCTCCAAAGCATCCTGTTCCTCCTGACGTCCCTAACATCAGTGTAAGCTATTATCCATTTCAGCTGCTTATAGTTAAGAACGTGGACATTTTCCTTGATTTCTCTTCAGTCTTCACTCTCCACATTCCATCTATCACCAAGTCATGCATTTGCCTTGATTCTCTAGCTCATATCTACTCAGTCCTTTGCATTTCTCCTGGCACAACCCTAGTCCAACAGCCCATCCATCTCTCCAGAGCATTTGGCATCGTCTGCTTCAAAGCCTCCCAACCCAGGACCTTCCCATACTCCTGAGATGTACCTCTCTTCATCTTCCATATGGTCCACTCCTTCATATCCCTTAGACCTAGGGTGAACACCCCCTCCTTGTAGAAGCCTGGCCTGCTGCCCATAACCAAAGTATGTTCCTACTCTCTTGAGCACAGTCTTTGTTTCCTTCACGGCAGTTGTCACAATCTGTAATTATCTTGTATATTTATTTGTCTCTCTTGAAAGACTGTAAGTCCCATGAGAACAAGTGCTCTGTCTCTTGTGTACAGCTAGATTCTTGTAATCCAGTTGGTGCCTGTTATACAGTAGGTGTTCAATAAATATTTATGCAAGGAATGAATGGGCGAATATACTCCTCTTTTAGATAAATGCCTTAATTAGAAAAAAAAAAAACGTACTGGTACAGGAGATCATATTACAACAGTATCCCTTAAAAAAAAATGCCTCAGTTTTTGCAACTTAATGAAGCCAGTAGACAAAGCCTTTCTTTAGACACAGGCCCTTAGTGGTGCTTCCTGGAAAATTGAACTAAAAGGCAGTCATTTAAGCAAAAGCTCACTTGCCTTCTGAAAAACTTTTTTCTCATTTTTTCTCACTATAATTCTCGGGCATTGTTGAAAGCCATATCAAATCATAGAGATGAAAAGGGTAACAGATGGAATTTAGACTCTAAATTTGAGAGCAGTATAAGGACTTCCCCTACGTACAAGGACCCCAAGTCACTGAGAGAGAGACATGATTTCCTCAAAGTCACATGGTTAGTGGTGGGACCAGCACTCAGGTTTCCCAATTGCTGGTCTAATGTTGTTTTCTCTCCGGTTGCCAACCAGCTTATTTTAGGACATAACAGCGTAGCCGAAGTCATTCAGGGTAAATCGTGACCGAA